ACAGGAACATCAACTATGGCTGGAGGTCAACACGGCCACGCTTCCGTTATCATACGAGGTTAGGTTTCTCGTATGCTATGGCTCATATAGTTAGACTATTGTATATCTAACATTTGGTATCAGAGCCTTTATAATCTTTGCCTGGTTGATTATTATTGCCTTAATCAACATTAATTTTTATATATACATCGAGTTTGTATGTTGGAATTTAAATCCATATTAAGCACAAAATTAGATTGAAATATATTATTGCCTGTGTACACATGTGTATACTGTGTCGTGTATATATATATTTCCTTTTGAATCTATGAGTATCATATATATATTTTTTGATTAATTATATATGAAATTTTGAGCTTGTTTGCCAATTTTGGGAACTTGGGAACCACAATTGTTGGTGAGTGTTGTTGGGCACTACATGTAGCACCGTCCTTGATGGCCGGAGAAACAAAGCTACATAAGGAAAAATGTAGGGACGGTGCGAATTGCAGCTTTTTGGCACTGCATGGCTTCTGGCTAATCCAATTAATATAATGAGCATCACCGTGGGGCGCTGCATGAAGTTACTGTCCGGCGAAGGTGCGTGTGGCTTCGTTCAGACTTCAGTTTGTCAATTCTTCTCCGGACAGAGCCGTCCAGATGGCCAACTCTTTGTTGCCTTAGATGAACGGCTAAGGAGAGGTTACCAAACCATTATGTTGAATTTCTAAAGAAGACGCAAGTGCATTAAGATAAGTTTGCGTCATTAAGGTAATTATCATTATTATTAGTATTTATTTTACCATATTAGTATTTGCCTTAATTAATATTATATATTAATTTTGGTAAATGGTAATTATTTAGTTTCAAATTGCCATATTTATATTATCTTAATTAATATTGTATATTATTTTGGCAAATGGTAAAATTAAAGTATGGTAATTGCTTGTTTTGGAATATTAATGCCCTTTAGTTTCTTCTTAGTTCTGGCATTAAATTCATAATTAAATTATTATTCAATTTTGAGCAAATATTAAAGTTTTAAATTTGCTATTTGAATTTTAATTTAATAATAAGGTGCATATTAAATTTCCTAAAGTATTGCAATTTATTTAGGATAATAATACATTAATATGCAAATCCAAGCATGCTATGTATATTTATAAATTATTGTTATAATTATATATTCATAATAGCATGCATTAAGGTTGGATTTAGCATATTATTAACTCCTAAATTCATTATTAAAATATCATTCAATTTTGGATCCTTAGGCCAAATTTTAGACATTATGATTTACTAATTAAATCAGCTTGTTTGGTTTCCCCTTAATTTTGAGCACATTTGTTTTATGTGTCTCAGGGACTTTAGAACCTATTTTGAACAAGCGATTTGGGACCTATCTTGGGTCATTAAAGTATGAATCCCATCATTTTGATTGATATTTAAATTTAAATAATAATTATAGCTTCTTATAACATGTTTATTAAGTTTTAATTATTACTAACTACCATATTTTGGTATTCATCGTTGGTAATAATATTAAATTTTGGATCTACTTCAGTACTAGACCAGTTTCCATCCATGTTGTAATTCATTTGGGCCATTGAGGTTTATGAGCCTAATTTGAGTGATTAAGTGCTATAATTATTATCGCCTGTTCTGAGACATTAAGGATTTAATTGTTATTTTGGCCATTAAGAACTATAACTATTATTTAAGTTGATTAATTTTTAATCTATTAATAGTTTTCAGGGCCTTAATAATAATATTAAGTCTTTAATTTTATGGCAAAAGCAATATAGTTGGTATATTGTCTATATAATGGTAATTTGGTTATTACCTTAACTTTAGTCTCCCTAAGTATCATAATAGTCATGGTTAATTATTATGTGGTAAAATTGAAATTAGTATTTGGCATCCCTTAATTACAGTTTTGCCTTTATTGTAATTATTATTAATTAGCATTATTAATTACTGTTATTAAGTTTAGGGGCTAATCTCATTTTATTACTTTTCATAATAATTATCATTTAATGGTAATCTACTATATTTGGTACATTGGCATGATTACCACTTCATTTTACATGACTATTAATGTTGGTAATTGAGTCCTACCAATCAATTTTTGAACGTACCATTGGACGCTGCATCGAGTTTGTTGACACCGACAGTAAAGATTGGAAGAATTCTGGATCGTTGTTAGCGCAATGGGCAGATGCGGTTTGCATAATTAAGGTTAGTCATTAATTATCTTTTATGCTTGTTATTGATAATTAGTGCTACAGTTACAGTTAACCGCTAATTTGGACTAGTCACATATTTTATCTTTAGAAAAATGGAAACATTTAAAAGGTGCATCACCATATTTTGATTTGTCGTTATTATTAATGTTAATAGTGATTATAATGTTACTTATTACTATTAATAATTAATGATGACATTAGTATTTTTATGGTATTCAGATGTGTACCTTGAACTGTTCCCAAATAAATTTATGTGACAATACTCCAGTTCAGAAAATAATATTCTGGACATTAATATTTTTCGGACTTCAAATTTTATTAAGTTTTCAAAATTTTATCCGAAAACCTTTATAAATGTTAACGGTTTTAACCATTGTTTTTCCATATTTAGTCTCCTACACAATGTGATAATATTATTATGGCTATTTATTGCTATTTTGATTGTTTGCAATTTTGCCATTAATAATAATAATATTGTTAACTGGGTGATGGAGAGTGATTTTGAATGAATTTAGTAATTTTGGAAAAACATGTTTTCTAGGCAATGACTATTGCCATTAATTCCATAATTCATTTAGTTCTTTGAATTATGACTGCCCATATTTAGTTAAGTATGAATAAATGAATATTTTGTTTAAATTCAAATTCTTTAGTTGGTTCATACTCCTTAGATTGTTTTATGCATTCGATCACATTAAGTGCATAATATTAAGTTTAATTATGCAATTAGGGTTTGTGAGATTTTGATTTACAAATTATAGGATATCTTTTTGGTTTGATATTATTTGAATTTGTAAAAATTCAGTTATTTCTCATAAATTTGATCGATCTTTATGCATTAAAACATTTTGTCATGGGCTTACAATTTAAAACATTTTAAAGTATATATTCAGTACATTATTATTCAAAATGTTGGGTCTCTTTTGGTTTGAACTCATCGATGTTTGAATATTAAGTTTATACTTTAAAATCTCATATTGTAAATTGCTTTAAGTTATGCAATTTATTTGAAATATATTAGTTTTTTTTTTTTTATACGAACATTGGAACTTTATTTCATCACAAAAAGAGGCACAAGACCTTACAACATACGCCATTGGCCCTAAAGTGACCAATGGCTCACAAGGCATAAAGCCTATACAAAACAAGGACCATAAAAGTCTAAACAAACACAAGGACCAAAAGTGGTCTAACTACCACACGAGGGCCATAATGGCCTAAATGCAACAAAGGCAAAAAAACCCTAACTACAAAGGGCCAAAAGGCCTAAAGAATCATCAAGAAACAATGAGGTCCACCTATCACGGTGAACCTCCCTTATTCCACCATATCATGGCCTACCCATCTAGGTAGACCCCATATAAGCCATTATTTCATCAAAGCCATTCGGCCGTCTCATGGATCATACTCAACCGGCCCAAGCCCTCTTCATCAAAATCCGGCCACCTTATTCTTCAAAGGCCCATTCGGCCATCAAAGGCCAAAGCCCAAATAGCCATAGACAATTGCTAATCCACCACATATTCTCTCCAGACCCATGTCTCACGGCCCAGCAAGCCTTAAGCCCATTTCCAATTTTTCCAACCCCATCTCATTTAAGGACCAAGTGGTCTCAAGCCCATCATCCATTAACTAAAACAAGCAGGCCCATTCGGAGATAACCCAAGCTCAGCCCATTTTTATTCCATCCCGACTGCTCTCATTCATGAGAAATATCAAGGCCCATGGCCAATTAATTAATCCATTCCAGAATTCCAGGCCCATTCGTCTGGCTCATCTTGTCTCACCGATTGAACACTTGAGAAATCCTTTCCCATAGGAGGATCATCCCCAAGGCAGGCCCACCCTCCACTTTAAAAGCCTTAGGTAGGCACTGCAACTCGCTCCAGAACTCAATTCACTCTGCTTTAGAATTCACCAGCTGCAGACCATCCCCAAGACGGCTTTCCTTATCCCTCCTTGTCAACTTCCCAGCCTACTGCTCTGCCCCATAGCCTTCTCCCCTTCTCAGAGGTTCATCAGGGTAGATGAACCTCCCTTATGCCTCCTTAAAGCCTCCTTAAAGCCTCATCAGGGTAGTAAATATTAGTTTAATGTTTAATTTTATGCATATTTGTCCTGAGCATAATATTTTGTTTTAAATTATGCAATTTTATTATGCTTTTAGAAATGCATAATTTTAAGATGGAATTATATTAGTTCCTATTTAAGTTGAACTTATGCATAAACTTTAGTTGCGGTAGTGCCGGAATTTAAGCACATTTAGTCCGCTAATTTAAGTTCACCATTTAAGCTTTAATCATAGGTGAATCATACAGTTTACGGGTGTATACCCTACAGTTTTAGGTTCATACCCCCAAACAGTTATACATTAAGTATATATGAATCGGGGAGACATACTAGTTTTAATGGACATGACTTAAGGACATCTTGTGCCACTAGTCTCCTTAAATTGATACTCTATCTAAGGAATTGGTTTTCAGTGAGACTTAGTCTCTAACCACCTTTCCTTGGAGTATATTTAGATTTTCCCATCACAATCTGGTATAATCTGTTTGTCAAAATTTTAAGTATTTCTTGCCAATGTGATTTTATTTCGGTTTATTAAAGAATAGCCAAAGCATCTTTAATTTACTGAAATATCTTGAGTTTTCAATCTTGGTTAATTAAGGAAATGCTACAGCATATTCAGCTACCTAAGATTATTAAGTTTTAATCACATAAAGTTTAGGCAAGAATTTGATAATTGTCTAGTGATCTTATAATTTTAATTTGGTTTGGGAGTAGCCACAGCATCCTTCATCTGTTAAAATTATATATTAAGCGGTTTATTTTGATCACATAAAGTTTTGGACATATCATTTGTGATTAATTGTATGTAATATGATGAAATTTAGCCCACAGGCAATTTCGTTATATTTGTATAATTAATCAGGATGAAATACTGGACTACGGTCATAATTTAGCCCACAGGTAATTATGTATCGGAATGTAGTTTAGTAGTTTTATCAGTGACGATAGAAATAAATGAATTTATTTACTTTATGGTTGTTTGTAAATAATTTCCAATTCTATCATGAAGTTTAATTTTTTGATGTAAACTTTAGATCATATTTCTTAATTTGCCCACAGGGATTAAGAAAACGAGTATGATTTCTTAAGTTTTATCATAATGGTTGTAATGAATCTTATTGAATAAAACTTTAGCCTACAGGCAAGTTTTATGTCATTTGATTCTTCAACTCATTTGATAATGGTTTAATCATAAATAACATTTTTCAGTTAGGATCTAATTGAGTAAAATTTTAGCCCACAGGCAAGTTTTATGTCGCTAGATTCTTCTGGCTCTTTAGTAATTGTGAAAAATATTATCATAAGGGTTTCTTAATTGGATTTAATAGAATTAAAACTTTAGCCCAAAGGCAAGTTTTATGTCAATAAATCCCACCACCCATTAGATGATAATTTTATCACAATTTCTTAGAGTTATAAATCCAGTTCAATTATAATTCTAAGTTTCATGATTTGCATAGGCAAAACATGTATTCAGTCACTTCCCAAAATTTAGTCACTTCTATTAATTATAATCCACGAATCTTGCTCGGTTCTTCAGACTAACTGTAGTAAGTTACGTGATTTGACATACCTCTTGGATTCCAATAATGATAAAATGTATCTTTTGAGCCAAATTCTAACTTGGTTTTGAAAGATGTATTTTGTTTTTTTTTAGTATGTCCAACTATGGTGGGGAAATATATCTTCATTATTTCGTTGGACTTTAATTGGAACAAAAAATTGATTATTTAGTATGTCCAACTAATAGTGGGAAATTATGTCTTCATTTGTTAGTTGGTCAATAAATCAATTATGAGTATGTATATTATTAAGTTCATTTTATTAATTTTGCTGAAGAATGTTTTAATCAGTGGGAGTGATCATTTAGAAAAAGATCATTAAGTTACTCCACTAAAGTTTTTGGATTTAATTATTGTATTCATACATCCCATATTGGATTATATGTCAAACAATAAGTCTAAAAGACTGCACAAGTATTAATCTTGTATTTGTTCATATAAATTCATAAGTTCAGATTATTGAACATTTGGTTGTGCAACATATTTATGAAAATGTTGCAACAATATTAAGGAATTTATTAGAACAAAAGCATTTAACTTGTGGTGCACTGTAATTTATTAAATTCTTCGGTGATTAATAGAGTTTTTAGTTTCTTCAAAATTGATCCTGAGCCATTTTGGTTTGTAAGGCTCAAAACAATTTTGTGAGACATATAAGTAAGACTCATTATGTTCAGTTCGTTTAAAGTGGACATTGAAGTTATTTGGGAAGTTATGGTGTATGATTAAGATTCCAAATTTATGGACTCAGACCTTTGGTTTTTTGTCTAAGTTATTGGAATGCTTCTGTGACTTGACTATCTTTTGGCTATTTTTGATGAGTGGGAGTGACAGACGTGTCAACTCCAAGCTCTTAGCTGTTAAAGATAGTACTTAAAGTTAACTTATAAAGAAGTCATGGAATATAGTCAGCATTATGCTAACATTAAGAGATCTCTACTTAAGGCATGCTTATAAAGTTTTAGAGATCATACAGTGTACTCTTTTGTACAATTTGGATGCGTTTTCTCCTTTAGTTGTGCACATAATGTATTTTGAGAAACATCCCTTAAGGTACCGAGAATAAACATAGGGTTTGTTCATTAAGGACCTAAGTTGAAGAATTAAAATGCATGTGACCATAATGGATACTACTCTGATTAAATAGAGGACATATCACTATGATTCGTGTGTTTTGTTCTTTGATGAAGGTTGTGCTGGAACTTGCACCAAGTGGGAGAATGTAAGATTTTCCCTTATAATATATATTGATATTATATATTAAGGCCTTAATTAAGTGGTGCAAGTTAACTAGGCTTATTAAGTGGTGTGGTTGGACTTAATAACTAGTAGTTGTTAGTCAACCAAACTCTGTGCCTAATATAAACCTGGATTGATGGGATACAGGTTTATGGATTAGATAGCACATTCAGTTACGGTACTCAGACCGCTCAGTAGATACCAATACACCATCTAGGGTTCTGAGTTAGGTCTGAGGCAAAACATGGCTGACGGTCTACCGTTAAGAGGCAACACAACAGGAACATCAACTATGGCTGGAGATCAACACGGCTACGCTTCCGCTATCATACGAGGTTAGGTTTCTCGTATACTATGGTTCATATAGTTAGACTATTGTATATCTAACAATACATACTTTAAAGCAGTGTATGCTCTCAAGTGGCAAGTCCAAGAAAGTCTCGAGGGGGCAATTTGTAGACACAGAAAATTTGAAGCCAACAGGTGGACCGATTAAATCATTATCGAGCCCAATTTCGGGGTTGATCATTAGTCCAATTTAATTAATTGGGCTATGATAATTAAATTAATTTAAATAGTCCAAATAAATTTGATTTGGCCTATTGAATTAATTAATTAATTGGTCCAAGCCCATTTCATAATTGAATTATAATTATAATTATAATTTAAATATAATATGATTTTATTATATTTGAATTAGATAATTATAACTTAATTTGAATTTGAATTAGATGCTAAAATAATGAACCTAGACTTGATTTTGGCAAGGTTCATTTTAGTATTTAATGAATTAATTTAATTTCATAAATATTAGTGGAGTTTGTTGAGGGATTTTAGTCACAAACTTCACTATAAATAGAGTCTCAATTTCATTCTTTAAATCACACCTCAAATACATTGAAAACAACTTGAAGACTTGAGAGCTTGAAGGTATTGAAGAACGCTTGACAACTTGAAGGCTTGAAGATTTAAGAGCTCTTTTGAAGGCATTTGAAGATCCTGAAGAATTAAAGGCATTGAAGGCATTTTTTGCAGGCTTTGAAGATCTTGAAGAATTAAAGGCATTGAAGGCATTTTTTGCCGGCATTTGAAGATCTTGAAGAATTAAAGGCATTGAAGGCATTTTTTGCAGGCATTTAAAGATCTTGAAGAATTAAAGGCATTGAAGGCATTTTTTGCAGACATTTAAAGATCTTGAAGAATTAAAGGCATTGAATGCATTTTTTGCAGGCATTTGAAGATCTTGAAGAAGTAAAGGCATTGGTTCTTTGTTTTTCAGTAGGTTGAGAAAGTATATGAACAGATACTACAATGTAATAGAGCCAATAACTTTAAAAAAAAAAGGCATTGAAGGCATTTTTTTGCAGGCTTTGAAGATCTTGAAGCAACTTAAAGCCATTTTGCAGAGTTGATTGCTCCGAAGCTTGACGTTTGTTGTTGAAGATCACGCCACTTGAACCCCAGAAGTTACGCCGTTTGAATCGCGGAGGCAGGTGCCATTTGAATCCCGGAGGCGCTTCAGTAGACAACGTTAGTGAAGAATAAGAGGACTACACAGAGATTTTGTACCTGCATATTGAATTATATATACACTGTGCACGAAATTTTGTGGAATATATACAAAGTTTACTTTTTTGTGTTTACAGCATGTTTAATTAAAAGTATTTTTATCCATGGTTCAACACACAGATTGATGGTATATATACAACACACTCAAGTTCCAGTCAAGACCCCTGTTTAATTGGCATCATCTTCCAGAGAAAGTAGCAGCAAATGATCACACATACTGATAGGTGCATATATATACTCTACCAGATATTCATATCTACAAATATACTTTTTATGGAAATATGCGCATTCATGATTGAAGACCTGAAGTACTAAAGATATAAGATACTTAGCTTCATCCTCCAAAGTCATAGTCCAAACACGAACGAGAACGGTGAACATATTGCGAGCTGCCGCTCTGCCTACTCCAGTCTGCGAACGCCGAATGCCGACTATAGGTGACTAAGCCAATCAGCGAACGGTTAATCTCCAGTCAACCATGATGGCCAAAACAGAGGGCTCGTGTGGTGTCACCACCGAGATTGTTTCCTGCCACTGTCAATTGAACAACATCACAAGGCCCACCGGCATCGCCGCCACCATCCCTTTCTCTGTCAGGTCTCTCTGTTCACCGGACTGCAAATGCCAGTCGCCCTTGATTGTCATCCGTGAAAACCAACCTGCTCCCGCCTCGGTCGCCGGCTGATTCTAGAGCGGAGCTCTCCGATTAGGAGGTCGATGTACCTCCGCCACTTAGTCCATCAATGGGAATGCCACTGAAGGAAGAAGAAGGTGATAAAGCGGCGACGATAGGGGAACAAGTTGTAAGTGGCAATACCATCGCAACAAGCGACGACAGATTGATAAAAAAAAAAAAAAAAAACTGTGATTTCCGATACAGCATGTATTTCTTGGTTCGTCGGAACACTTGGATGAATCAAACTCATGCCTTAGATGTAGAGCAAAGCGCTGATAACGTGTTGTAAGAATATTCATAATAGACAAAGAGGAGAGAGGGAAGGCTGGTACTTCTCATTCATCATACAGAATTCTTATACAAAGGTATCACGATGTACAAGGTAATAATTTTTTATTCCATGAAACAATTCTTTACCTGATCTTATCCTCAATATACGAAGAGGTTGCCTTCTTATTCCTTCCTATGAACGAGGGGAGTCCCAAATATTTCCCAAAATTAGGTGCCTGGTCAACCCCCAGAATCTGTGCCACATCATCCCTGTCCTCCTCCTATGTGTTCTTATTATAGCATATGCTAGACTTGTGGTAATTTACCACTTGCCCAGACAAATTTTCATACCGTGTCAAACACTGTTTAATCGCATTTGCCTCCTGTGTATTTGC